AAGTGGCTGGAAGATAGAAAAGTCGCAACCGAAGTCAGGATGCCCCCGCCCTGGCTACCCGATGCAACTCGCTGCCAAGTGGATGCAACATGAATTCAGATGCTGCAATTTTAGCTGCTGTTGCTCACCCTGCAAAAACAGCTAAAACAATTTTTTTTTGGCAATTTGTTTGCTGTGTGAGCAAGTTGTAATGACTTTTTTTGTGATTTGTTTTCTGGCTGAAAATTACACAATTTTTTTGCTGTTTAAAGTGCTGTTTATGGTTTCCATTAGCACTGCCAAATTTAATAGATATATTATATCCATGTCTTTTCGACCTTGATTTGCCAAAAAATGTTGATACTAACTTTTGACAAAATAATGACACAAAACTATTTAATTATTTATTAATTATAATTATAATGAATTAACTAAATTAATTCATAAAGTAAGACTTAGTAAAAAGCTTTAAAAACAAACAAAAATGTTGATACTAACTTTTGACAAAATAATCACACAAAACTATTTAATTATTTATTAATTATAATTATAATGAATTAACTAAATTAATTCATAAGGTAAGACTTAGTAAAAAGCTTTAAAAACAAACAAATTTTACAAAAAAAATAATAATTATTTACTCTTTTGTTTGAAACAAAATCAAATACAAAGTGAATAGAGAATTTGGAAACCAAATTTACTACTCAGAGACTTTCATTAATTATTAGGGAATAAATGTAAAATTCAATTTTATATTTTCATAAAAAACTCTCAATAACTGCATCAAATTGTTATAAAAAAGCCGATACTGTAAATTTTTTTTTTATTGATTTTTAAAATTTTAAATGGGATTTTGAAAACCAGGTCTAAAATTTAAAACTAAATAATACAAATTTGTTAAAATCAATGGGTGAAGAAATATGTAATTTTACGAATTCATTGTTGACCAATATTATTGGCCAACGTCTTTGGCTTATATAACCCTTCAGACGATAAAAAAAAGTAGAGATAAAAGCTTCCATTGCACTTGCAGCTGGTTTTTAATTAAATCAGTATCTGGAAAATCAATTTACACAGAAAAGCAGCAAATGTCGGTTTTCATTTGTCTCAGGCTTAGGGCTCGTAAGGAACTAAAGTACCAAGTCAATCTCAAAGCCGCTTGGCTCATTAAAGCGCACACAATTTCCGTATTTCCGCTTCGGAAGTCGTCATCAGTGCGACAACTGTATCTCGCATTTTAACTACTCCCCTGCTTTTGTTTTCTAGAAAAGCGTTTGAAATATAGTCGGAGATGGAGCCAAATAAACATCCTCTGATGGAGTGGGGTATCCAGGATTAACTAAATATAACTTTATCATTGGATTGGCTTAGTCCCCAAAATTGTTATTACTGGTCCTTCTACGTATTTTAAAATCGTGATAAGTCTTTTTAAGATATCGTGCAGGGAAAAAGTTAGAAATCGAAATCGTAAGTTGCGCTCTCCTTTTCGTTAGAAGTTGAAAATTTTTTGTTTTTTTATCTCCTTTATATACCCTTGCAGAGGGTATTATAATTTTGGTCAGAAGCTTATATTGCAGTGAAGGAGACATTTCCGACCCTATAAAGTATATATATTCTTGATCAGGATCAATAGGGAAGTCGATATAGCCATGTCCGCCTGTCCGTCTGTCTGTCTGTTTCAATACCGTTTGCGAGCTCAGTTTTAAAGCTAGCGGTCTGAAACTTTCACAGTCGTCCTAAAACATGTGTACGCAGATCAAGTTTGAAAATTGCCCCGATCGGACGTCTATATCCTATAGCTCCCATAGGAACAATCGGAATTGATGATGCAAGAATTGATGATATTTCTTCCAAATCGTAGGGAGAAATCAATGTATAAGCCAATTTTTCCAAGTCTTTTTTATTTATATTTATAGCGTAGGAAAAATTGTTAAAGGCTGAGAAAATATCCCTTTTTTGTCTATTTGTATATAACTTTTTTGCAGTTTAAAACCTATTGACATGAAACTATGAAAATCTAATTTATTTATGTATACCCTATTCTTTTCGCTTCCTTTTCAATTTGAACAATTTCGACAAAGTCTGCAAGGGTATTAAAACTACGGCTTGCCGAAGGTAGCTTCCGTCCTAGTTTGAGATCTCGGAAATCGTCATTGCTAGGAAATGTTCCACTTAATTTTTAAAAGTTGGCCACGTCCACTCCCACAGATCTTGTAGTTTTCTGGAGACTACTTAAAGAAATGTTATTATTATTTATTCGGTCACTATCTTTTTAACATCAAACAATTTTTAAGATATTAAGTTTAAGATGGTCCATGACGTCAGCGCCAGCAGATAGCACCAAACTGTGCAGCACATATTTTGTGTGCTACATCTTTTCTGGACACAATAAATCGCAAATATTTAAGCATTTTTATAAGTTTTAAATCTAAGTCTAGTAAGTCGGAGCCCACAAAATGCATTCAGTGAGTGCTTAAGGCGGCAAAGTGCCAGAGTTCTTCTCATTATCACAGCTTATTTTAAAGATGTTGTTCTGGGATACAGAAACTTGAACTGAATGGCTTCCAATCAGTCAGAGCACTGTTATGGCACACACTGTGGGTTCAAGATGCAGATTATTGGAGCGTCTCGAGGATCCGTTTCGTTAGCCACTAATTCGAGCTTGCACCCGAGTTCCACCAGCGACCTCACATAAATGTACCCCCGTTCCGCAGTTTCTTCCTAGGGATCACACCATCGGCTGTAGTCCTACCAAGGGCCTCGTCGTTTTTTAAGCCTCCGAGTAGGATGCACTTTGGATCTCTTGGAGTCAGGCGCCCTTATTTGTCAGAGAATTAAAAGCAAATAAAGCTTTAACAAAAATAAACCAAAATTACCAAACTAATGTGTCCCTCATGGAAATAAGAATATGTTTAAAATATTTTAGTTTTACTAATAACACTTAATTAATTTAATTATAATTATTAATACTCATATAGTCCCTGTGCATCTTTTCATATTTTCTTTTTGTTCGAACCGATTTAAAAAATTATAGCCACGGGACTTGCATTTCTTAGGAAAGATATATATGTACAAATTAGCTAATAAGGCATTTCATTAACAAGGAATCTTAAGTAGAGGTATTGTTACATTTACAATTACAATATACCCACATTCGCATTGCTAAAGAAGGCTCCACCGAGATCAGACATGATCTAATTCTTTATGCCATCCATAACCTTTTAGTAGAGCACACAAACATTTAGTATAGTTCCCGTTCAGTATAGTCTGTACCGAAGTTACTTTTTTGACCTACAAGGGTGACACAGAAATCTGTTCGACTGTCATTTGCTTAAAATTTGTAGGTACCTCATTTGTAAATTTCAACCAAGTTCAAACGGAGAGATTTCAGTGAATCCGAAAAATACAAATTGTGGACTATTGAGTTCCAATTGTTATTTTTCGGACGAAAAGAATGTAATTAGGATAATACGGACGATAATTCAATTTACTGGAAATACTGCCAGCGCCTCTAAAGATTTTATCACAATTTTAAATAGGCTAGCCATAAGACTTATTTAGTTAATGGAAAATCTTTAAGAAATCCTTTCAGCTAGGATTTATAAAAATGGTCGTCAATTTTAACCTGTTTAACAGCTGAGAACTGCCTCGTTGTTGTTAACAATAAATTTAATGACATGTATTGCTTTTACTGCTTTGCACACTTGTAAGCCCGGATGTAAAACCATTTATTCCATTCCTGAAAGTTTGAGTTTTAAATGCCAGAGGTTGTCATTTCATAGGCTTTCATGATTTTTTAAAAACAGTGCACGCATAATTTATCTTAAACATGGAGACATTACGATTCAGCAGTGTTAATTACTTGGCAGTCATTTTTTCCCAATGTTTAATGTAGTGTGTTTGAAAGCGAGTGTGTATTAATTAGAGCACGTACGCAAACCCAGCGAGCAATAGTCAAAGCTGCAAACAGAGAAGGAGGTGGTGAATGGTTTGATATTGCCAACTGCACTCGCGTAATTAGCAACAAAACGTAGTGCTTATTAAAAATAGCACCCAGTAGAGACTCTGATGGAAATGTGGAAATGGGGAGAGCTGTGTTTGCGTGCGTGGCAAATGGAAAATCATAATTTCTTTTTTAGGCGATGTTTTAATTATGCTCATTATTAAAGACGCCTTAATTAAAAAGTCCACTCAAATATACATAGAAGGAAACACACGTGTGTGGGCGACGCAAGCTGAATGTCACGCACCGCAATAAGATTTGCAGACAGTCGAAGTTTAATTGCCGTAAGAAAAAACAGACGTGACTCTGCAGTTAATGAATTAAAGCCATCCGGGTAACACTTAATTCTCAATTATAAGCGAGAAAGGAAATTAAATTTGTCAAGCTGCAGTTATATCAAAAACTAATTAGTGCCGTCCACTTCAGGACATTTTCCATTTTTATCTGCTCACTTGCGAAAAATTAAACTCTTGAAGAGAATTTTGTTAATGGTTTTCTCACTGAGGTAATAAAGAGCATAGGGCCAGAAAAAAACTCTATCAATTATACCGATAGTCTTAAAATTTTTCGAACTTCGATAGATTGGGCTCTCCATCAACACTCTAAAAAACTCCTTGCTTTTGCTCGGTCTTTTTGAATTTTTCGAGAAATAAGGCAGTATTTTTAGGTATATTTCTTGGACTCTAAAACTGTGGTCTCTGTATAAAGCTCAGAGGGCATCCAGCGACGATATCGCGATACAATGCAAGGGATCCTTATCCACAGTTGCAGTTGAAAAAACTTCGTATTTGGGTTACTAAAGTCGTTAAAATCTTGTCAAATCGGCAGATACATTTGGTATTGATTAAACGTTAACTTATTACTAATATAGGGCATAACAGTGGTCAAATTGAGATGTTTAATTTGACCTTTTATATTTCCAGTGTCCTGCATGTGACAAGAATTTTTTCCAAGATATTTTTAATAGGTTGCCTTTTTATATGAACTAACTCCCCCGTCTCACCCTTGGTCCTTGCAGCTGCACCCAATATTAGCGGCTTTCACAGTCGACATCACACGCACGTAATGATGATGATGATGCCGACATCGAGGGTCTGGCGACAGGCATCGGAAATAGAGCAACGAAAACAACATAAACAACGATGGCCAGCTGACAGGGCAAACATATTAGTGGCTAACGACGATAACAGTGATAATAGCGGTGGCAACCACGGGGTGGCGCATAATCAAAACAACGGCAGCCAAAACAGCTCCATGGACTTTGGAACTTCCGCCTTCCGACGAAGGAAAGCGCACCAGAAACCCCGGATAGCCTCCACTGGACCCCACTTCCCCCTCTCCCCTTGGACAACGCTGCTCGTCCTCCTCTCGATTTCTGCCCTGACATCGTCCGCCAATGTCTCCACCACAACGCATCTGTCCATCAACGGCAGTGCCACCGATTACGTCCTGCTCCTCGGCGACGCCACCACCCCCCTGGTTCCTGCCCAGACCACCGGGGTCGCCGGGGACGGAAGTGGTGGCGTTATCGAGGACGAGGAGGACGCGGAGAAGGCCAGCGAATACATCTTCGATCGCACCGATGTGCGCATTATATTCATCACCCTTTACACATTGGTTTTTTGCTGCTGTTTCTTTGGTGAGTAAAACAAAGTCAATTCCCTTAAGCTATGCGTTTTCTTATCGCTTTTGGAAGAATATAATAACATTATATTTTGGAAGACAACATACTTGACCTCTTTACTCTAAAAGTGAGCTGACCTTTCCATTGTGCCCAAGAAGCAATTCTGTTAAGACGATTGAGATGAGATGAATTCGTTTATTTGCCAAACTAAAGGCGGCTTGAAGGAACAGATTTGCTTTTTCGGACTCGCAGTTTAATAGCTGTAAGCAATTAGAGAAGTCCCCTAAGTGCTAAAAAGAGGCTCCGAAGTTTTTCCAGTTAAGTACATATTAGCCTGGAACGTTCCTTAAGGCAGAGTGGTAGAGTCTTGGTTACCGTGGACTCAAGCCTCACGTCAGTGGAGTTATTTTTTTTAAGGAATTTAATACTATTGAATTTCTTTGCTTAAAGTTATGGTTTCCTTCTCTATATACACAACTTGCTCATTTATTCCGTTGTCAGAAAGTTCGATAATTTATTTCACCTTTCCATTATAAAGTCTGTTTCAAATGGGCATTCGGATATGGATTAGATACTTGTAACGTGGATTGCATTGTTTTCTAAACGCAGACTTTTTGAGGCTAAATAATTTTATTTCCGGATTGAATTGGTCAGATCTTTTCTCATGCAGTTATATGGCTGAAGACGTTAATACACTGCAATATACTGGGATAAAAACGTTTTTTAATTCTTATGTTCAGTGGTACCATCCGACAATGTCCAATAAATCTCCTTGGTTTAGCAAAGAGTTGACACACTTAAGAAATGTAAAGTCGTGGCTTTATTAGAAATATAACCAGAAGGGTTTCTGTTTTTCTTAAAAACAATTTTAAGATGGACGAAATTGTTATCTTATTGTTCGAAAAGTCAGCCAAACTAATTAAAAATTATGATTTCTTAAATTTTAAATGTTTTTTTTTTATGAATGGAATGTTTGCTAACAACCCTTACACGTTGTAGGAATTAGATGCTAAAGCCGGAACAAATTTTAAAAATTCGGTAAAATTTGCGGCTGAATAATTTACACTTTGAAAATTCTCGAGGACGTAAATTTTAACATCCCTGTTGGCAGGCCCAGCAACCGTTCTTGAGACTCATTTATCTGGTGACAATAAGACTGGCTGGCTCATCAAAACATGGATTTCCCCTGTGACTAGGTGTTATGATTGAATTGTAACACTTTAAAATATAAAATTCTGCGAGTTATCGATCGGAGAAGCACCTGTGAGGTGTCAACTCAATTGTAGTTGCTCCCGCGAACACGCTTTTACAAAGTGCATTTTTGTTTACCCGCCTCCCTAACTTTATACAAGTTAGAGTGATTCTTGCAGCTATGAATGCGATTTTGCATTGGTTAATATATCCCCGGTTCTGCCGTTGGCGAATTGTTGGCAGTGCTCAGATGTTGAGTAGCATTCTCTGTTTGTATTACACGTCAGCAAAGTTGTTTTGGTTTCAATCGGAAGAATTAACTTACACGTTTATTTAAAGTTAAAGAAAAAGTGTTGCTAATTACCTAATTACTTACTTTAAAGCGCATTTAATTTGTTTTTTTCGATAATCAGTAACAAACTATAACGTTTTTGTTCAAAACAACTCAAGAGACTAGATATTCCAGACTTCGTTTTTAAGGCCTTATTCTGCGCTGCGCTTTAAATGATTGTGGTCGACACACTTAACTACAATCAAGTGTTTTTATTTTATATTTATAGATACTGCAAAGCTATAAAACTACAGTTTTGTTTGAAAGAAATGAACGCTTTTTGGAAAAGTTCACCATTTCAAAATTTATTACACCATACTTACTTTTGCCTAAACTTTTTCATTGAATGTAATCAACTTGCACAGTTCTTATATTAAGAGCTCGAGATTATGTTTGATAGTACCACAAACGAAAGACGCATAAAAGTAAGGAAAATAGACTGCCGCCGGACATTTACGGTGCCCCATAGACAGCCCCAGTTTTCCGTGACCGACCCGTGCGGTTGAATTTAATGCTGACTTGCCAATTACTCAATGCCCTGCTGTTCGGTATATGGTGTCCAGTCGCCCAAGCCACATTAAAGAACTTTGAAGGCTTTTGAGAATTATTTTTATACTCTAGCAGAGGGTATTATAATTTAGTCATAAGTTTGCAACTATATATGTTTATTCTGTCTGTCCGTTTGTCCGCCTATCCGACAGTTTAAATTTATTTATCGCTAGCTTTTAAACTGATCTCGCAAACGGTATTGAAACAGACGGACAGACGGACATGGCTATATCGACTCCCCTATTGATACTGATCAAGAATATATATACTTAATGGGGTCACGTCTCCTTAAATGCGTTACAAACTTCTGACCAAAATTATATTACCCTCTGCAAGGGTATAATTTATCATTTAATAAAATATTAATATATTATTAGTCTTTTTATTTCACAGTGTTTCAACCATTTTTATGTTAATATACCTTTTAATTGTTAAATTACTTTTTTGAAGCAAGACTACCATTCCATAGTTATCTTACCATTAATGTAGTTCAAATTAGTAAAGGTAATTAACCGGCAACTATGATTTGAAGATTTTTAAACATATTTATTATTATAACATTACGCAACGTAATACGTAAGATATACTATTTCACAGTTATTAAATCATTTCCAGACGCTGGTGAATTATAACTATTTACTTGACCAATGGATTTGTTTGGTAGTTGAACTAATTTAACTGACTAGCGAAGGCGATTTTTACTTACATACTCTTACATATATGTACAAACGTCACATATCATTTATTTGCTCCATGTGGAACAATAAAATAATTTAATTTTATAGATAACACTTACCAAGGCATTAGTTATCCGTTTCTGCAGTGTTTAATTGCCCACACACACAAATATATAATGTCTTTAACCTCGCGTATTATCAGGGCCTGACGCTCACAATCAATTATGTCGTTCTATTGGACGTTTGTGGGTGGGACCAATTCCTAGCATCATTCCTAGTCCGTTGTAGGCTTTATTACCCGCAGTGACAACAGCATCCACAATAAAAGCGTTGAACATGTGTATACGCCATTCCAAATGGCGACAAATGGCCGCCCATTAGGCACAGGCAGGGGCGTTGTCGGGCATTGTGCAGACAATTGCAAATTGTAAGCAACTTATTTGGTTTCACAGGCGACCGAAATGTGGGGGAAATAGAAGGAGTTCAGGGAGGGGTCGCCCAGTTCCCACACTCGCCCACTAAATTTACATGCTGTAGTCACGTCTAAAGCCTCTGTTCTGCTGCTGTTTTGATATTTGTTTGTTGCTGTCATTGAAACAAGTAAGTTTAATGTTATGTTAAGTCTCAAGTGCAGATCCATGTACTGTCCTCTACCTTATAAAAAATATCCTGCCAATCCAAGTTATGCACCTGCTTAATTATGCCGCATACCAATTACGCGAAATATACACTAATAGAACACCCGAAAAAACAAAATGACCTAAAAAGTGTGGAGGTCACGTAAGTTAAGGAATACAATTCTATAAAGGGTAAAAACGACCTACATTTTGTACATAAAATTGTTTTATGGAAATATATATAATATTTGATCATCTTTGGTTATCCATATTTATGAGTTGATCAAAAACAAACCTTGCACTTACAATTTAACATTTTTGATTTTGGTTTGCAATAACAGAGGGTATTATAATTTCAGTTAAAAGTTTGCAAAACAGCATTTGTATGTTAGACAGATTTTGCAATATGCCAAAATGACGATTAGTCTTGAAACAATTCGAAGACTACTGAGAGACAATAATTTGTTTTCCAAAAGTCTCAGAAAGGTGCCCCTTTTGACCTAGTAGCAAAATTCAATTTTCAAAAGTGCATAGAAACTGGCCCATTGATAAGGAGCGCAATATACTTTGGACTGACGAGAGCAAGATTGTTTTATTAGGTGGTACAGGGTGTAGAGAGTATGTTCGAAGTCCCCCCAAAAAGGAATATTGCACAATCCAAAAAAAAGACTGTTAAGCATTATGATTTAGGCCTGTTTCGCTTATGCCTGGTGTGGGTCCCATCCAAATGATAAATGGACTTTTAAAAAACATAATGCTACCATAGTCCAGTTGGGAAATACCCTTAAAGTGGACGTTCGAACAGGATTAGATCCCAAGCACACCAGTAAGTTCCTATAAAGCGGTGCCAGGACCTTATCGATTCTATGCCACGCCGTTGCAACTCCGTGTTGCACAGTAAAGGCTATAATACTACTACTAATTAGATTATAGATAATAGTAGATCATCATTTATGGAGATTTTTATTATAGTTATAGGTAAAGTTGTTAAATTTTAAGAAGCCACTGCAAAATGTTGTGATTCTTCTGTTTAAAAGCCTTTGAGTGCCAACCTTTCTAAACTTGTATTACAAAATCATCTGAACTATTAATAATAAATATATATATTGTCATTTTCACCATTTGGTTAAAATAAAATAAATTGCGGTTATCATTTGGTTTTCTGCCTAACGTGATACTATTTTCATGACCGCAGCTGTGTGGCTATGCAGCATCAGAATTTAACGTCCCCCGAGAATGAGATACTCGATACTCAAATCGCAACGAGCTAAAGAAATGTTGGAGAAAAATAAGTCGATTGACTAGGAAAATATAATGCACTGTTATTTGCGATAAGTGTGGCCCAAATAATTAACAGTCATACAAAAACTAAGGGTGTTAATGCATTTTGGGACGGACTCAAGACCCGGTCCTTTTTAGTGTCAGAATAATTTTTTCTCCCTGTTTTCGTGTGCAACTTTTTCAATAAAAAAACAAAATTGATAAAATAAAAGAAAAACTCTTTCCCAACATATTAATGGTCGTCTATACACACGTGTGTAAGTAACTTGGGCCACTGATGCAGTCCTGTCTTCTTTGTATCGAATTTCCGAGCACGCCGTGGAGTGTTGCACGTTTTTGGTATTTTCTGGCAGCACTTGTTTTTTTGTTCTCCAATTTCCTGTCACCCTGACCGGTGTAATTAAAAAAGTTTTTCTCGACATTTGTTTGCCATGTGAGACCTCAAAATAAAATGTTTCGTTTTGGTCGATTCTGTTGCCAACAATTTAAAGTAAAATACAAATTACAGACCATGCTGTTCCTAAAAAGATTAATGCAATAAATATTAAGCTGTTAAAAATAGTATTTTCTTTTAAGGACCCACAAACGAAGTGGCAAAGCTTATTTACATATAAAATGGATTTGGATTATTATTGGCATGTATTTGTCAAATTCCCACAAAAAAACCCAATTAATTGAGATTTGGAGAAGCATGTGTGTGCATAATGCGGGTGAAATTTATTTTGCGTGAATAATTCGAATTAAATCATGGATGAAATGACCTTTATTTAGACAAATTATATTAATGCAGTTAAGCCCAATTGCTGAGTCAGTTAGGCTTTAAAGTGCATATTTAACCACAGTTAAACTTTACGGTTTTACCCGAAAAAAAACTAAAATTTTCTCCGCAATTCAATTCCAAATTGAATAGAAGAGATTTGGTGACAGAAAACATAAAATGAAAGCTTAAATCAAATGTTGAACTGCATCTAAACAAAGATGTATATAATTTGTTAAGTTAGGTGGACTTATTTTGTTCTTATATATTACATGTTAAAAGTCAGTCAATAAGTGTTTAATACTCAATGGTCATGTTTTTAAATTCTTCTGTGTTTCTTAATTAATTCATAGTGGTATTAAAATAATAAGCTTAAAATATTTTGATATTATGCGGTATACAAAATTAGGAAATTTTTGAAAAACTAATTGTCGTCTTCTAAGATATGTATCTTTTTGAACATTTTCAGGCAACCTACTTGTTATTTTGGTGGTCACATTATCGCGACGACTGCGCTCAATCACGAACTTTTTTTTGGCGAACTTGGCGTTTGCAGACTTCTGTGTCGGTCTCTTCTGTGTGATGCAGAACCTATCCATCTATCTCATAGAGAGGTGAGTGACAGCTCAGAAAAAACCAAAGCTTTCTCATATTTAATTAAAATTTCATTATGCACGAGTGAAGCTAAACAATGCCAACTTAGCTGATAAATCAAATTGGCATAAAAGAGTGAAATTGTAAGTGAAATACTCTTTGTGTTATAAGGAACAGTGGATTGTTCGCGTGCTGGGCCATCCTCTTTTAAAGGATTCTTTTTAAAAAAATTGGAATTTTACTTAAGATGTAAAGAAATAGTTACTTTTCCATATGAACAAAATTGAATACACTAGTTTATAAAATTAAATCGACGACATACTCCAGTGATGAAGGTTTGGTTTTCCGGCCAGTTGGCCTCCCTGATTAAGAAAATGACAACTAAAATATTGTATTCTATACGTTTTTTGCCTATTTTATTTGTTCTCTCAAGTTCTGGTAAACCAATTTTGGTCATTAAAGACTTATTTCATTGGTAATATAACGTTTTTAAAGTAAAATATGTTATATATTGCATATTGCATCATAAAAAGTTTATAAAAACCACTTGAAATTTTGTCGATCACCAGCTTTTAACGCAGTTAAGCAACCATTTATTGCCGCTTAGTCCGTACATATTCTTAATCAGCATCACTTGGCCTGAAAAAGCAAAAGATTTAAAACTATTACTTGTAAAGTGAGTCAGAGATGACTGAAATAAATTTACCACAGCTCGAAATAAAAAACATCTGCAAAAACTTTTACCTTGATAACGGAAGAAATTATTCTTTTCGCAGATTCTTTAGAAGAGGATTGTAAAAAAAACGTCCTCCGATATTTAGGCAAACTAAATAATGTAATAATAACAAAAAGAAAATTTGTTTTACCAATTTTAGCCCCATTCACTTTCATACTTAGCTTGTTTATTTTAAGCGAGTCCTCACGATTCTATGCTCACTTGCTTGTTAGATATTTCAAAGTGACTGAGCTCGAACTATTAAACTCGATTTTGTATAACATGACTTATTTGTCAATTCTAGTGAACTCGTGTGGGGCAACTTATGTTTTCGACACAGCGAAAAATACATAGATGGGTGCGTCGAAAAGAATGAAAATAGTTCAACTGTTCAAGCACATCTCCACAGGCGTCACTTTTGCCAGAGTTTTTTCCCTCGACCCCCGCTCCATTTATTCACGCGCGTTTGAATCATTTGTATATTCTAATGTTTCCATGCTTTAATAAAAAGACGCGATGAAAACATTAAAAATAAAGTTCTGCCAGAAAATTCGAGCAACGAAGGCTTTACATTTTCCAGATTTCCCACAATAAAACTGTGCTGTTTTTATAGTATTTTGTTTAATATTTTAAAAGCTGCGTAGCTGCCGGAGAAGAAGGAATTAAATTCAGATAAGAAAACTAAGGCGTATCACAATGTGAAACAGAGCCACTTTAAGAGACCAAATTAGCAGAATTCTTCTTACATTTTTTTATTCTTTTCATCAAAAATGTTTGTTAATAGAGGTAACAGTAATGTTGTTTCTTAATTTTCAGCTGAATCCATTTGATAAAATTTAAAACTAAATTTAAACATTTGAATCGAAGCTCGTCATATGAGTTGGCAATTACATTATTTGTTTTTTGAGATTCACTAAAGCTTAACTCAGAAAACAGGATTCGACGGTTCCCTAGTATGGGTAATTAATTGATCGTTTGCAGATTTCAAATCCAAATTATAAATATATTTTAAAGATATATCGTGCGATAGTATTTAATTCTACATTAATTTCCAAAAATTTCTATGCCATGCAGTACAGCTGGAGTCAGAAAGTTCTTGGCAAATAATAATTTGATTTAAGGTGGAAGAAATTGCTGACTAACTTTGAGTTGTCTTAAAAGTCCGTAGTTTGCCCTACTGCTCGGCTTAAGTATGTGGTAGTTCCAGGCTAAGAAGCTGATAAATAATGCTGGTCGACACCAGATAGTGTCGTACGATAAATTATAACTGGTTATAATATAAATCAATTTTCTGTTTTGATTTTGTTTTTTTGTAAATCACCACACATCTTGATTTTAAGGGGTTTAAGGCTTGACATTTTACACGCTAATACATACATTAAGGTTAAAATTTGCACGAACACAGTTATTTATACGTAATATATAATTCCATATTGTGGACTTTTCTGTGGGAAGACCGTTTGCATTCATTGAAAACTAAATTGGTACAAAACAGATCCTAGTGGTACATACTGCGTAGTCCGAAAAAATGTCAAAAATAATAAACGAAATCGAAAGTGCAGTTTTTGAGAAAAACGGCATAAAGTGGCTATAGTGTAGCAAATGTTAGCCTTTTTTATGTCCAAGACGTACCATTTCTAAATTATCAACCTACGTTACTTTATTATAGGCCACACTTAAACTTAATAACAAAATACTATAATCCGTTACCTCATTACAGAAATACGATTTCCGAGCAGAAAAAACATTAAAAATAAGACAAAAAAGCTTTGCGCCCCATTAAAATACTAAAGACACCTTAATGTCGCATTAGTTTCGCGGGTGTGTCGTAAAATTTTATGTGGCTGGTCTTAATTTTGGCTCTGACACTTTGAAGCAAAATGGAGCTGAGACTCTTTAAGGGCAAAACTTTCTCCCATAAATAATTATTAATACCACATCGTGCCAATTTCTTCTTTCAGCTGGGTGTTTGGCGAATTTCTGTGCCGCATGTACCAGTTTGTACACTCGCTGAGCTACACGGCATCGATTTTCATCTTGGTTGTCATCTGCATGGAGCGTTATTTCGCCATCGTGCATCCCATAACCTGCAAACAGATCTTAACCGCGGCTCGCCTTAGAGTAAGTTAAACGAATTGACTAAAAAGAAGATTTATAATAATTTATGTTTATAATAAACAAGCAAGAAAGGAAGCTTACTTCGGCTTGCCGAATTTCGCAGCTAAGACAAACATTAATTATTCCTTTAAACGACGGAATCTCGACTATTAATGGCTATATATCTCGAGTTAAAAACGTATATGTTTAAAAACAATTAAGTCCATTTACCAATAAACTTTTTGATTCTTGCTTTGACAGCTATTTCGTAAGTCGTCCGATTTTAAAATAAAACCCGCCTTTCTAAATCATAAGCGATGACTCGGAAAATATGCGTAAATGTTATAAAACATGAAGATTGCAAGATTTAGGTCCATTAGTTAAAATCTATCAGAAAAGCACACTTTCATTAATGTAAATGAATATTTTATTTAACAAATAAGGTACTAGTACTATTGGCCTAAGAGGACTCAAAAGTCCATAAATTGCGTCGTCATTTTCGAGACCCTTTCACACAACTTTGATGGCTTAATTTAAATATAATTTGGAAGCTAATTAAACTTATTCGACCGTTCCCAAAAAGGCATGCAAATTAAGCGGCAAAACAGTCTTGAAAAGCCTAATAAGCCGTGGGCATAACTTTGCGGCTTCGAAAACTTTTTCACCCTCAGGGAACTAACCCATCGTAAGTGGGTTAGTCACATTCCCAGGCACCCCGATTTAGAGTGCCCCCCCACTGTTGGACAAAAAATACGTTTTAGTAATGACGATTGTCCCAATTAAACTACAAGGAACATAAAGACAACAAAATGGGACATCCATTAACATGCAAATTCTGTGTGTTTGTTCGCAATTTAACAAATTGCTTGCGTGTTTGGCAGCAGAGCAGTCAAAACAAACCGTCAATGCGTGTTTCTTGCAGATGGTTATTGTCACCGTTTGGATTACATCGGCCGTGTACTCAACTCCCAAGTTTGTTTTTAGCAAGACCATTAAAAACATTCACACACAGGACGGCCAGGAGGAGGAAATTTGTGTGCTGGACCGCGAGATGTTTAACTCGAAACTGCTGGACATGATTAACTTTGTGCTCCTATACGTTATGCCGCTATTGGTGATGACGGTAAGAAAATTGAACTAAAAACATTATTTGCACAATATATTTACAAAAATACCCATATCTAACATTTAACGTCTGCTAAGGTGTGTACAATAGCTATATGACTATAAGAAAATTTTCTGTTTATACCGTTCAACTTAAGATTTGTGCAACGATCTGCTCTTCGAAGATTAACAGTTAATTTTTGTGAAAATGTTTTCTTTTTTGATTAGTTTCGTGTATTTTGTTGCAATTTAGCAGCATTGTTTTGATAATTAAAAACAAGGAAGGAAGCAAACTTCGGCAAGCCGATGTTTATATACCCTTGCAGCTAATACAAAACGACTACATTTCGCTGCTATATCATATAGCCCTATATCATATTGCACCTTGAACGTTTAAATATTCTGAGATTAAATTTCGTAACGTAAAATATTATACGCCCTAAAAAAACTGATACTACTTTTTCTAAAATGTACTATTTTTCTAACTACGTAGCTGTTATTAAAACACTTGTTATTAAAACACTTTGCTTTTGTTAAAGAACTAATCAGAAAACTTGGGTGACAAATTGATATATTTATTTGTTTATTATTGGCTTGTTAGTAGACTCAAGGAAATAAGAAGAAGAAATAAAGAAAATCCATAATTATTTAATTTTTTTAAAACAAAAATATAATAGTCATTTTAAAAGTTTTTAATTTTAAGGGGTTATCCGGGTCTTGGAGCACGAAAAAAAGCCTATTTTCGTAAATTTTTTTTAAAGATCTTATGACAATTTCACAAATTTCATTTATTGTACATTAATGTTTATGGCTTGACCAACATTGTGTAAAAATTTGAACCAAATATTTTTAAAATTGAGCCGTTGAGGCAGGCTTGAACTTGACCTCATAAAAAATTGTGTCCTTGCGGTAGGCAAAATATCTCCGCCAATTTTTGTCTGAAATTAAAAAACTAAAATTATTCTGATAGTGTATGTGTCTCGCTTGTCCTCTACGAGCCATTTTTTTTAAAAATTAAAAATTGAATTTTTTGTAGCCTTTTTCATAAAAAGTGTCATTTTTTACGTAAATTTTGGCCATATTAATATAAATGAGTTGTAATTAAAAATTTAAAAAATCCCTCCGTTAAGGACAAGAGAATTATGTCTAAAAGAAGTGTGCAAAAGCAGAAGTTGATCGGTGCAATAGTTTTTGAGAAATCGTGACTACCGACTTCAAAAAAGTGGTTTTGAGAAAAACGCGTTTAAAGTGCCGCATCTGCCCGACGCCAGAGCCCGAATGGCCCGTTGTGACGTTCGACGCGCTGGGCTTTAAATTTCTCCCATTCCTACAGTTTTGCTTCGATCGACTTGAAATTTTCAGACAACATTCCTGAAACTTTGTACTATTATATAAAAAAGTTTGAAAAAAATGAATTTTTTGAAGTGTCAAGACCCGGATAACCCCTTAAAACAAAGGTTGTTTTTATGAGTGTATTTAAACCAATAAAGAATTGGAGCCAATATAGTGGTATAAGCATTACACTAGAATAAAACCAACTAGTCAAAGTAATAAAAGGACTACTTAAGAGCAATTGCACCATTTTGATATCTTTTGGTAAAATTGAAAATTTTGAAACATGGCTTTGTAAAATAAAGGCAATTTGTTACTCCCTCTGTCCTAAGTAGTATTTAAGTTTTTGTTTAAAGTATATTTTGTGACAACGAGGCCAGCGCTCAACCTATCCGGGGAAATCGTGTGAATAATGGAATTGACCACGAACACACTTTGCATTGCAGGTGCTGTACAGCAAAATCGCCATTGCTTTGTGGCGCAGTTCGCGCGGCCTCTCGCCGCATGTGGTGCAGCATCAGCAGCCGCAGCAGGCGTCTTGCCAGGACGGGGGCATGGGCATGCACAACAGCATGTACCACCACCAGCACCACCAGCCCCACCAGCACCACCACCACCACCAGCACCACCAGCTCCCGGCAGCGTCATCGGCAGGATCTGGAGCTCTGGCGGGCGTGGGAATGGGCGGAGCTGGGTCGTCACTCGCCTCGGGCGGCAGCAGCACCACGTCCTTGTCCCGAAAACAGAGCAGTAAATATGAGAAGCGCGGTGTCAGCATCACGGAGAGCCAGGTGAGTGGCCACGAAAACAAGGCTTCCCCACAACATGCAGCAATAAGAAGTAATAAGTAAGGGAAAATCCAGCATTCAAAGCGTAAGCTTGGTAATACATATGGCGGTAATTAATCAGAAAGTAGGTTTAAGGGCTTGTGGCCCAGGATAAATCCCCCAGAATTCGAAAATCATAATTTCCCCAAATTTACATTAGGAAAAAAAGTTTACTTCGGCCATGGTTCGTTTGTAATCGAATTTCAAAGTTCCTTGTTTTTCTGTAAAAATCAAGTAGGCTTTTCATTATGTATGGGCTGAAGAATTCTAACTATATTATTGATCAATTAGAAGAATGAATTGTTTTTGTGTGCATAACTTTAACACCATGGTTTTGCGGAAAGAGTTTAATTTATTTGTTAAAATAAAAAAATAATACAAATTCGATTGCGTGTTGCCTAATGGTTTTCAGATTTCGCTCCTTTCAGCCACCAAAAGAAATAATAAGGTAATAAAATAGACAAACACACACTAAAAATTAATAGAAATTATTTTTAACAGCGTATTTGTTCTTAAAGAATTTTCCCATAATACTCAACTTCAGATTAGATAACAAGAAATGTCCTTGACCCATGGCCTACCGCGGGCCATCGCGATTTTTGAGGGTGTCGCTGTCACATTGCTGTCCGACATCCATTAATTTATTAGATATGTACATAGTAGCCGGCCTCACAACATTCTCAGACGTAAAGCTTTTCCTTGAGATATCTGTCCGCAATTTGGCTCTGCCAAGTGGCACTGTTCTCGGAGCAGGTGTCAATTGCCATTAAGGCTGACCTCGCCACAAACTCATCTGCAGGTGCGACTGCTGGTGGAGTGAAGAAATAACTACCCAGCTAAACTGCAAGTGAGTCGCCAAAGTTATGGCAGAAATGTTATTCCGTTATTGGTCGTATTTCTTATTTTCGAGCTTGACAGCAGCTTTAACTTGCCACTGTCACACATCGGCCAGCTTGATTGTTCTTGATATAAAAAAATTGGGGATTTAGAAAAACAAACGCCAGACAATCGAAAGTCGACATGTATATGATTGTTTTGAATTGTATGACGCGTAGAGCGCCAAGAAATTTAAAGGAGCCACTGTTAAAAAACAAAGAAATTTAAACCATAAGCCAAAGTTTTGGATTTATTATTTTGATCCAACTTTTAAGAATAACAAGTGCTGAGTGTTTGGGTAAATTTGTCTTTAAAAATACGATACAAAGTAGGCTACCAAGTGTGCAATATTGCAAAATCTTGGCAAATAACTAAATAAAGCATAAAGCATTCTAGGTAACCACTATTTTATAGGAGAAAAACTCAAAAATACTTTATTTGCAACTACTTTAATTTTCTGCTATGTTTTAACTTAAGTCCCCTTCTCAGCCTTGACCCACATATCTAACTATCTTTCTGTTGAACTCTTTTCTCTCTCTACATTTCGTTTTATCAATAATACTGTTTGGTCCCCCCTCTCTTCTAATCCCACCAATTTTAACAACCACACACAACAACACCACAAATTAGCTTGATAATTGCAAGGTAGGCTATAATCGAATATCAAAATCGATAAGATAACGCTCTGCGCGGCTGCTGAGCCCACAAACTAATGCCATTACACCTGTTAATCTGCACAGGTGTCCCTGGAGGCCGATCGTCCCATTGTCAGCGCCTGCCGCAAGACGAGCTTCTACCACCACTCCCACGCCCACCACCAGCGGACGGGCATGGCCTCGGGGGCGGCAGTGTGGGAGGGGGCGGGGCCGGAGCCGGTGCCGCCCACATGTCCCACTCGTCCAGCAACGTCCTTCGTGCCCGGCGCGGCGTCGTCCGTATGCTGATAATATTCGTGCTGACATTCGCCCTCTGCAATCTGCCGTATCATGCCCGCAAAATGTGGCAGTACTGGTGAGTAGCAAACCGCCATCATACACCAATCGCACTCCTCCCCCTCCCCCTCCCCTGTTATCATTCCCCATGGACGGGACGTAAACAATGTTTTATGGTATATTGTACCGCGAGTTGAGGGGCATTTCCATATTCGGCCGATGGACGGGAAGGAAATTAACATCTGCGAGTGGGCAGATAACCCCGGGATGGCTTCCTGCTGGAATCGAGGGTGGTAAACAATTAAGTCATCAATTGGAGGAGCGAGTTTGGCCAGTGGGCTTAGTCGATTTAAAAACACTTTCTCTTTCCGATCCAATTTCGTTCTACAGACGGAAGACTCGCTTTCTTTGACCTTTCAAAGCGGACACTAACAAAAGTCCGGTTTAACTCGCCTTTGGCTTCCAGTTCCGCTTCCGGAGTGGCAATTTAAAGTGGGTGGTTCGCCCTACTAGATCTGAATTGGGGCGCTTTGGGTTTTTCTGCTTGAGGAAACTCGTGGGCGGTTCATGAAAACTAAGTGGGCGGTGGCGGTGGGAGTGTTGTTTGCAGTCGAGCACAGAGCTAAATCGGTGAGGAGTTAATTGGTCCATGGGTAAAGATAAAAACGTACACTTAAGCATAGCTTTTACTCCTTCACGAAGTCCCCGGTGTCTCAGAATGTTTTTAGCCTGCTTGCGCACTTATGAAACAGCAACTTACATCCTATGAATCCGAAGCTTTGTTCTAACGTTATACAAAAACTACATTTTGGGGCTCTCTTTTCCAAATGAATATCTGATTTATTTCGTAAACTAGTTGTGATTTATACTCCCCAACCAAACATGAAATATTCTCAGGTCAATAATAATCGTTGTCTTGTTTTAATATTGTTGGACATAGTGGCTTATTCTTAACAAGAACTAGAAAGGAAGCAAACTTCGACAAGCCAAAGTTTATATACCCTTGTAGTTATATCAAAACGACTACACTTCGATTTCTATGCCTATATTACTAAAAACAAAGAAGCTATTTCGATTAGGTGTTCTATTTTAATTTAATTAAAACCGTAATTCCATAGTATTTATAAATTACCAAATCCAAAAGAAACAAAAAATTAAAAAAAAAAGTACCACATTTTGTTTTCGATTGTTCCTTTGAGAGCCTATCATATCATAGTCACACGATCTGGCTCGTTCCGTATATACTATCTGCAATAGAAAGACAACTTTTGGGAAAGTTTCAAGCAGATAGCTTTTAAACTGAGGGACAAGTTTGAGTAGAAACGGACGGACGGACAGACAGACGGAAACTCAAAAAAATTAATAATAATAATATTATATATATTATTATGGTAATATTTAAATATTATGGAATTACGGTTTTAATTAAATTAAAATCGAACAACAATATCATATAGGTGCCATAGAAGGGATGGCAAAATGCAGAGCAAAATCGTCATAGCTTTATTGTTTTTAGTTATATAGGCATAGAAATTGAAAATTAATCGATTTGTAATAACTTTTTCGTTCCTTATACGAAAGCTAGTGTAAATCAAAGTCCATGTATCTAAAATTGAAAAATTCAATTTTTTGAGTGTATAAAACAGTATCACATCCCAGGGCAGCCAATTCTTCAAACAAATGAAAACTGAAATTCCAGACAAGTAAACAACTCTCGTTGCCCAGTCAAGCTAGACATAAATTTAAATTATGGCACCGTGGGGGAAGTGGGACTGCGGGCTGAAATGCATTCTCTTTGTATCTGGCCAGAAATCACATATACTTTCCCGCAATACATTTTACATTTGCGCAAATTGAGTGTTCCAACTGCAGTTGCAAAGAGACATGCGTTTCAGCTATTTTTCCCGCAGACTGGGAACAGAATTCGAATAAATTTCGGTGGAGGCTGCCAAAAGTGCAATGTAGCAAATCAGCAGCCAAGTATTAAATACACTTAGCTTAACGACTTAACCTTCGGAAATAAGCACTCACAAACACCTGAGAGTTTACCTTCAGATTTAATCTATATAAGACAATCAGTTGGATAAGCCTATAGTATATACACATAACACGTTAAAATTAATTTGATAAACCTATTTTAAAAACATTGTTGTAACGAGCACAAACAAATTATATGACAGAAAACTCGCCACCCAAAAAAATACGAAAAAAGAAGAAACACTCTGCTCTGACAACATTAAATTTTCAGGAAGACCCCTATAATCATATTAATCATTTCCCAAATACTTTTTTATTAGGTATGCATTTTTATTTGCCTCAAAGTGAGCAAATGCAATGGGAATTCGTTGAAAAATATTTCTTGTTTAATTATTATTTTGTAAAAGAAAAAAAAACGACTTAAACTCTCTCTCAGTAAAATTCTTAATCTCCGGTAATACTGACTTTATTCTATTGTTATTCTATTATATATTATGCATTTTATTATTATTATTATTCAAAGCTGGCCAACACAACACATTACAAAGCACTTTCAGAAATGCCATAATTTCACTTCAAATGTTTAAATATTTAAAGCCATTTATTTTTAGCAAGATATTTCCTTTTATACCCTTGCAGGCCTCAGCCGGGTCCGGCGACTATATCATATAGCTCCTATGGGAAGAGTCGGAAAAATTTTTTTTTAAAAGTATAACTTATTTGTTTTTTGGTTCTTTGGGATTTGGTTATATTTAAATACTATAAAATTGAGGTTTTAATAAAATTAAAATCGGACATCTATAAATCTTAAAAAAAAAAAAAAAAAATTCAATTTTGCTGTTTTTCTATTTATCAAAATATTCCTTTGAGATATAGTAATTATTTACTATATTAGAATTACGCTTTTAGTTTTGTCATAATCGGACAACAATATCATATGGCTGCCATAGCTACGAAAATGAAGCACAAAATTCATTGTTTTTAGTAATATATGTATGTAGACATAGATAATAACTGAGACATAGTAATAACTGCAAGGGTTTATAAACTTCGGCTTTCCGAAGTTTGCTTCCTTTCTTGTTATACCCTTGCAGAGGGTATTATAATTTTGGTCAAAAGTGTGCAACGCAGTGAAGGAGACATCTCCGACCCTATAAAGTATATATATTCTTGATCAGGATCACCTCCTGAGTTGATATAGCCATGTCCGTCTGTCCGTCTGTCTGTTTCTACGCAAACTAGTCTCTTAGTTTTAAAGCTATCGAATTGAAACTTTGCACACATCCTTTTTTCCTTTGCAGGCAGTATATAAGTCGAAACGGCCGGGATCGGCCGACTATATCCTATAGCTGCCATATAACTGATTGATCGGAAATGCCATAACTTTAGCGTTTTTAAAGATAGGAAGTTGGGATTTTTTATGAGTGTTTATAATCATAATCATATCATATGAATAATTTTGGAGAATATAATTTGCAGAATATTCTGCAAGGGCTCCGCCCGAAGTTAGCTTTCCTTTCTTGTTTTAGTATAATATTCTTATTTATTTATATTACTCTCATTTCATAGCTATGTAAATATGTATGTACACATCGTTTCTAAAAGCTATATATAGCGTTTATAGCTACTGAAACAGAATACGTTCAAGTAATTGCCAACGCGTTTGCATTTTATTCCAAATGTAATGCGTAAATTCAACAAGGTTTGATGTCATGGTGTGCCACGTTTTCATTATTAGCTCTCAACTGCCAGCAGTTGGCAAATGCGGCTCATTAGATGACCCAGTGCTGACAATCGGCCACCCAGAGTTTGGCTCTTAATTTTTTGTCCTCGATTCGGATTGGCATTTACGGTTTTCCCGGAGCTGGGACAAACCGTTGGCAAAAGGCCACTTCAGGACTCAAGCAGCAGCGAAAACAAAGCGAAGGCCGTTCGAGTGGACCAAACAGTTAGCCAACTCTTCTGGTGAATTGGGCCAATTGCAAGGGCAAACGAATTTTCAGCAAGCAACAACTGCTGGACAATTTGACAGTTGGTGCAAAGTTCGCCTTGTCCGAGTTAAAAAAAGGAGGAAACACGAAGAACACCTCTCTTTCTGCTTTAAATATTGTTCTGCAAGGAAAGTTTCGGTCAAAGTTTATGTTGCATACTTGCAGGCGGCGAAAAACTTTGCTCTTGGCCAAATTCCCTGCTCCATTAAGCAAGTTTTCGAGAGCCTTTTGCTCCCAGACGGCCAGAAAACAATACTGCCAACAGCAACTTAATCACCTGGGTACATTGAAGTGGACAAAAGTCATCACCTGCTTCGGTACACTCGACCCAAAAAAAGATCCAAAGGCGATTAATAACCCTTTACTGCATGAATATTTTTTTAATTAAGAAAAAAATTTAATAAATGAAATCTCAAATCCATATACAAAACTACATTGTTAAGGTACTTAAAGATTGTACAGGTTCTATGTTTACAAATAAATAATATTAATACAAAAAAAAAAATGAAATCTATGTTAATTTCTTTTATTATACCACATAAAAAAAGAGAAAAAAGACTTATTTCTGAGTTTTTGTAATAAAATAATATTTATATTATAAAATGTATTTCACAAGAAAAATATTTTTTTTTTAAGACAACTTTATTTTCGTAGAAAAAAATTACTTTGCAACAAATAATGTATTTTTTTTTTTAATTTTCAAGAAATCATTTGCGTATTTCCAAGTAGAGAAGTTTGAAAAAATGAGGAAAACCAGAAATAAAGGAACACAAAATTCATGGAAAAGAAAATGACCGATAACAAAATAGTTTGCGCGAGGAAAACTTTAACAAAAACCAAGAAAAGAAGCAAACTTTGGCAAGTCGTAGATTATATACCCTTGCAGCTGTTAGCAAAATTAAATTAATAGTATTTGATTGGAGAAAATAACAAAATATTACTCTTGAGTTAAAAAAAAAAAACATTTGAAAAAAGATAAAGAAAGATACTGACAATAAATAGAAATAGGAAATTTTATACAAAACAATAAACGGTCGTTCCATATCAGGGATATCAGGTATAAAGATACCCGTTTCTCTTTGTAGTGTTCCTTGATTCTATAAGGTATATATATGTATTTTTGATCAGGTCCATCCGTATAAACGTCGAGATCGCGGAAACTACAAGTGCTAGAGATTTGTGATTAACGCATTTGGAATTGGTTAGATAAGTAACGGGTATCTTATAGTCGAGACAGTCGACTATAGCGTTTCTTATTCTTCTTTATAAACAATGAAGCTATACGATGAAATAAAACCGTTTATGTCGTTAATTAGGAAAGATGCGATTTTATTTAAAACCATTTTTTCATTCAGTGTGCCAGTTTCTAGACTAAAAGTGTTGCTGCTCTTGGAAGGAATAGAATCTAAGTGAATTTCTAATTAAATGAATCACACTTTATTTCTTAAATAGTTGCAGGCGTAGTTTCGCTCTTTAATTTTTTTAGTGCTGACACAGACTTGAAGTGTGCAAAAGTTTTTTTACATGAATAAAGTTTTGCGTGGGAGAATTGAATTAGAATTGCGGAACACTTTCGACCAGCCAAGTTTTACTTCCGAGAATTCGAATCTACTTTGGGACGGAACTTGCCACAGAACTCCGTTTAATGTTTGTCCAACAGATGCTCATTTGCATACACGCAGAATACACATTGTGCTGAACATAATATATACATATAAAGGCAGATAGTTATTCCCATGTATATGCATTTGCAGGTCACGTTCGTATCGCGGTGATTCCAATTTTAATGCGCTACTAACGCCGCTCACCTTTCTGGTCACGTACTTCAATTCGGGCGTAAACCCCCTGCTCTACGCCTTCCTCAGTCGCAATTTTCGCAAGGGCATGAAGGAGCTGCTGCTCTGCTCCTGGAAGAAGGGCAAGGGCAAGTCGTCCTCCAACTCCTCGATGCATCACAAGCGCAAGGCGCTGCAGGTGAGTATCGCTCGCACGGCCCCAAAAGCCGTCATCTGGCAAAGTCCTATAAACAGCCCGCTGCTTCCCCCTTCCTCACTTCCTCCCTCCCCGCAGACGCACTCCCTGCCCACGGACACCACGCACATCGGCAACGAGCAGCTATGATGGCCCAGCGGCTGGAGGAGGCCCCTCAAGTTCTTCGGGCGACGCTCCTAGGACCCAGCCCCATCACCAGCCCATCGAAGGATGCAGACACTTCTGGTCCGCTAGTCGTCAGCTAGCTATTGTTTTATTGCGATGTCGGAAAGCCTTTTGCTCGGATCGAACTGTCTCCTAGCCGGTGTCAAGTTTTATTGATAGAGTAAGCCAATTTTTAAGCGAAACAAAATAAAATCAACTTGCTGGCATCCTCGGGAGCATGGATGACAACTTCTTAGTGTATATATATGATTTAAGAGTGAACCACTTTGAACAAATAAACAAAAAATGAAACATTATTATTGCTTGCATTTGCACTTACTATTGCAGTTTTCTTGCTCTGGTTTACAGTACAGTTTTTTAGCTTCACAGCTCGGTGCTGAAAATGGTCAGCAAAAATCAATCGAGTTCCAAAAATACCGCCATGCAGTTTCGCGGGGCTCAAATTGCAATTTGGCTGCCACCGAGTGGGTTCGCAATTTATGTATATACTATCTCTTTATAGACCTGACTTGCCATATCTGATGACAAGGTCTCTATGGTCAGCCGGAGAACGCTGTTCGTTGTGGCTGCCAAAAACAAGAAATATGACACACAGAGAGGAAGACTGCATTTAAACTGGTCGAATTTTGTGCTAAGCGCAGCATTTTGTACCCCACTTGGGCTGTCAGACTCGTAAGTCAACAGAGGAAACGCTGCAGTAAATTCACAAGAGAAAACTCAATTACCAGGACGGTCTGACGTTGGCGCAAATTAAAAACCAAAAATCTCCTCAAAATCTCTTGAAGCTCGTTATTTGTTTTCGCCGTTTGTTCTTCCTTGCGCTTCTTTTTATCCTGTGACCCTATTTTTACATGCCTTTGTAATGCAAAGAGTGTTCCATAAACTGTGTTAAAAAACATCTGGAAAAGGACCTCAAACGGGACGAGTCTCCGTGTCGAGTGGGACTTTTGAGTAGAGGACTGCAGGTTCCCAATTCCAGTTTAATTTTTCTTAATTAAGGGATTTTGCCAGTTCTCCCCGACAAACAATTGAAAACGTATGCTATCGACAACCGGTGCAAAGGGGAATATTTCCATATCCAATGTGTTTGTCAAATAATTAACTATTTTAAACTAAATCAACTAACTATAAGTCTATAATATTACTATTTAATATAATCTCATTCAAAATACACATTTTACGAATAAAGTGCTTACGACACATTTATCTCCGCTTTGCTGGATTTTATAGATATAAATGGTGTATTTTTACTTTCTTAGTCAATAAATAAATAAATGCGAAGCGGCGGACACTTGAACATTGACACTCAATTTAAAAGCCGGTACTGTAATTTTTCGTACAATTCGTAATGTAGTGGGCCTTAAATTTATCATTTCCTCAAATTTGCCAAGTTTGGTGTTCCGGTAAGTTTGATTCCCTGATTTTAAAAATGAGAGGGTATTATAATTTTAGTCAAAAAATTGCAACGCAGTGAAGGAGACATTTCCGACTCTATAAAGTATATAGATTCTTGATCAGCATCAACAGGAGAGTCAATATGTCTAGATTGTCCGAACGGACAGACGGACATGGCTAGATCGAAACGTAGTACACTTTTGACTGAAATTATAGTATCCTTTGCAAGGGTATAAAAATTGAACAAAGAATAATTAAGACAATTTATACCAAACAAGAATGGGCTTCTCGAAAATGGGCTTTCACTTTTCTACAGGGATTATTGGGTTGTATATTTCATGATTTATGATGTTTTGGTTTTTATACTTCACTGTTCCCAACAGATTGCAATACTCATATTTAAATGGTATTCTAGCGAAATAGATTAAACAGGTATGTTTTCGACTTCTTGTGGCGGCCTCAGTTCCAGAGCGACTGGTTGGAGAACACAAGTCGCAGTTAGGGAGCCACTGCCAGGCAAACACGTGACGTTGGTTTGGGGCCGATTGACGTGCGAATACGAGACGTAGTTTTAGAGTCACTCCAGTTTCGATATTATGATTAGATAATGGTTGTCAGGTAATGAAACTTCAGATCTCTATCCCTTTTCTGGCACTTATGTGTGTAACCCTCCGCACATGCAAGATTAGATTTTGGTTTTGCGAATGGCATACATTTAAGCATTTTTAGTTATGGAGCCCCTCATCGAGGTGTACGAGCCCCCATTTAGGTGTTCGTAGTGTATATGAACCAGGACTTCCAACTTCCAAAATAGTCCAGTACATGTAATTCAATACAAGTATTTAGAATTCTTCTTTGTCGTAAAAATATTGGTGAAGACCTTTTCGACAGTTTATTTTAATTATTTATTCTTATTATCCTCTTAACTTACAACTAGGGCTTGTGAAAATCTCCAATGAACTGCTATAAAACATATAATACTATGGTCATATATCCGCTCTTATACTAGTTACTAGCTTGATGCACTTCTTTTTCGTTTCTATATCAACGTCATGATGCCATGATTTACCATCTGTGCTTTACTAAATTTGAGGTTCATTTTTCAAATATGTATACATTTTTCATAAATTGGCCGTATGTTGATGTTTTATCACTCTCCAGCAATGCATTCAGATTTAACGTAATTGTATTTTAGTACCATACTTTTGCATATATGTACATACTTCCAAACACAGTTTTTGCGTCTCTTCATGCAAGCATACGAAAAAAGTACATTGGGGTTGTCCTATCACCAAACACAGTTTAGTTATATAATATATTCAACAATATATCAACATTAACGGGCAATATTACCATGTCAAAGTTTTGCAAACTACTAAACTCTCAAGAAACTCATTTACACAGTTGTTTGTCAGAACGCATCTAGAATATTGTGTTGGTGTACAATATTTTATTATATTATATTATTATACAACCTTACTCACGCTCAGTAAAACGCAACAATTTTATAGACTATTTTAAGGGTTATAGAATATTCTGTACAGCTAGAAAAGTAATTTTATTAAGGTTAGATTTGGCCGTTATGCCGTAAATTTGTAGCGCATATTTCGAAATTGGACTCAGAATAGATTTATATTTGCGGACTTTATTAGACAATGATAACTAGAAAAGAGTACAGTAGACTATTGTCAAGTTAAAAACGAATGCATTCATGCAGACCTCTGGTACACAACATATATGCTTGAGCGTCCATATACATGGCTTGATGTTTGAAATTCTAAATTATTTAAATCATCTTTCCATCATCAAGTCTGTTTCAAAAAATGATTCCGATAGGGAATAGCGTGTAGTTCTAGGAGTTACATGTTCCACTGAGGATAAATATAGCACAACGATTTTATTGATAAAATAATGATAGTGATATAAATAATGATAGGTGACTTGTGTTTTAAATCAAATCCTGAAAGTGTGCTTTTGTCCAGAAAAGCATCACATAACCAATCTGAAGATCCATTTTATCCTACTATCGAAGTTTCAATCGACACGGGTATAAAAGAAAAATCTGAAAAGTCAACCGAACGAATATTTTGTTTTTGAAAGGCTGACCTTCTGAGGCTATATAAATTATTTTTGGGCTTAATTGATGTGTTCTTTTCTCATGCATTAATATGGCTGATGCCCTTTATATTTTTCACCTTACAATAATCAATAATCCATCAATGTCCAGAGCCAATGGCCTAACACTTAAAAAACTTTACCCAGGCATTATCAGAAATGTAAAAATACCAGTACTCAATTTGATTTTGTTAGACTTATAAGTGTTTGGTCAAGATTCACTGTGCTTAAAGCTCAGTGTTATAATAATTACCTAAGACGTTGAATGGTCCAGATCTCGCGGTACCCAAAACAGTTTTATAACTTTGTTTACACCAAGCGAAAGTTTAATTCACATCCTCGCTGTCGATTGAAAACATGATGGCAACCACTGATATGGCAGTAGCCGATTTATTTTACCCAATTTGTCAAACCACTTATTCTTATACCATATCGAAGTCGAACCTAATTTTCTGTCCCATAATAACGGAAAATTCATTTTTTTTTTTATCTTTTATGAGTTAAGCCTGTTTATTCGCCAGGGCCCAACATCCGACATCGGAGAAATAATTTACCACACCTACCAAGATAAAAGTAGGAAAGGATTACAAGTCTTTATCGAAAGAATCGAAGCAGCAGTCCCTATCAACGAGATTCTAGATTTGTATAGATTTGATGCCAAAATGGCTAGGAACATAATAACTTAAAATACAATTTCTCGGCCAATGTTGAAGATAGAATTGATGCCTAAAAGTATGCCTGTAAATAGAAATTAATTTTACCCAATCTTACATCTCTTATCTATTGCACATTTAACTAAAGTCGGCCCTGCACTCAAAAAATATAGTAATTGTAGGGGAACCACACTTTTAACTATATAAGGAGTCAAAAAGTCGTCTGGGCCAACAAATAACTAAGTCCGACGTTGAAATAACCAATCACCCGACAAAACTTTCCGAATATACAATCGTCCAGGCTTGAAGCTTCAACATCGGGTCTTATGTCTTAGTGACTAAGCCGACAGTTAAACAAACCACTGAAGGAAAAGTGCAGCAATAGGAATAGCAACACTTTCTTACTTTCAGTAAAACAGATTGGCTTAAATACAGAAAGTTTGTAAGTACCCATAGTGATGGCATTTCAAACATATCAAGAAGATATTGACACCTCAGTTAAAGAGCTAGTGTCTGTTATGTCACAACCTGCACAACACTCCACACCAAATATATATCTGCCAATAAGATTTTTAAATAGCAGTCGGGCTTATGAAGAACTGGTATGGAATATGAGATGGAGCTTTAATTATTTGAGTGGCAGGAAACAAAGATTCCGTGGTAAGAGCGATAGCACCGCGCCAAGAAATCGAAAAAATTGTTGTATGCCCAGCTACCATGATTTTTAACGCTGTTCATCACAAATCGAACCCCGAAGATTCTGAAGAATTATCTTTTTTTGAAGCAACTACAAAGCTACTCTCTGGATATTTTTGGAAGTTCATTTCTAATTATGCTAGGAAAACCAAACCTCTTATAGATTTGACCAAGAAGAAATTTTAAATTGTTATAGAAATAAACGAGCAAGCGTATATCGATACCTAAAAAAAATGATATCAAAGATACAGTTTTAAGAAACAAGAAAACGAAACAGAAGTTCACACGGATGGCTTTTAAGAGGGTTTTTGAGCAGCCCTGATGCAGAAGTTTCCTAAAGATGGTAATATGCACCCTGATTTCTATATGGTCACAAAGACAAGAGAATTCCAAAGCTATGATCTAGAAGTCCTTGTCATTGTAGAAGCAGTCTCTAA